CCATTTGGCAGGATCTGCGAGGCTTAAAATGCATGCAGCTCTCAGCTCCATTTGCCATTCCTGCCCGGTTCCTTCTGGATGGCCTCTCATCTCTGGTGGTCAGGTTGCACGGAAATGAAAGCAAAGCTGTAGGTCCCTTAGGAGCCAGGCCCAGATCTGCACAGCAGTCCTTCCAGCACATTCCATCAACCCAAATAAGCCATGGGTCAGCCTACCTGCATGGAAAGGAAACCTAGCTCCTGATGGGACAGGAGGCTTTCAGACAAACTGCCACGGGGCAGTTGGAATAAACCACACTGCTTCATGGACCATTTTAGCAGCATCTCTTCTGTGTATATATAAATTTCAAAACATTCTGTTGTTTCTGTCCATATTTCCTCCCTGACCTCAACCTTGTGACCAGGCACATATTCTGTTTTGTTTTCTTAACTTTTTCTCTTGGAGATCTGTGGATAAATCATAAACAAAAACATACAATAAAACCACACCACAGTAAATGGCTGCAAGATTCAGTTTTTTTTTTTTTTTTATGATTTATTTGAAAGGCAGAGTTACAGAGAGCAGAGGCAGAGAAAGAGGGAAGGAGGGAGGGAGGGAGGGGGAGAGGAAGGGAGGGAGAGAGTGAGAGAGGTCTTCTATCCTCTGGTTCACTCCCCAGATGGCCGCAACAGCCAGACTGGGCTGATCCAAAGCCAGGAGCCAGGAGCTTCTAGTGCGTCTCCCACGTGGGTACAAGGGCACAAGAAGTTGAGCCATTTTCTACTGCTTTCCTAGGCCATAGCAGAGAGCTGGATTGGAAGAGGAGTATTCGAGACTTGAACTGGCACCCATATGGGATGCTGGCACTACAAGCAGTGGCTTTACCTGCTACCCCACAGCACCGGCCCCAAACTTCAGTTTTTTGTTTTGTTTTGTTTTTAAGATTTATTTATTTATTTGAAAGTCAGAGTTACACAGAGAGAGGAGAGGCAGAGAGAGAGAGAGAGAGAAAGGTCTTCCATCGGCTGGTTCCCTTCCTAGATGGCCACAATGGCTGGAGCTACACTGATCCGAAGCCAGGAGCCAGGAGCTTCTTCCGCGTCTCCCACATGGGTGCAGGGCCCAAGGACTTGGGCCATTTTCCACTGCTTTCCCAGGACATAGCAGAGAGCTGGGTTGGAAAAGGAATAGCCAGGAAGGACTAGAACCACTACCCATATGGGATGCTGGCACTTCAGGCCAGGGTTTTAACCCGCTGCACCACGGCGCCGGCCCCCAAACTTCAGTTTTTAAACCCTGGTGTTGTATCATTATGAAGTTAAGTAAAAGCAGTGTTTTATCAGTATTCATCAGTGATATCCTAAAATTGAAGAATATGAGACTTCCTTGTACACAGCTGAGCTTATGTTGAGCTGAGAAAGTCCAAGTTGATTCTGAGGCAAGTTGATTCCTAATATGTGTGCACATCCAGGGCCGGCTCCGTGGCTCACCAGGCTAATCCTCCGCCTGCGGCGCCGGCACCCTGGGTTCTAGTCCCGGTTGGGCGCCGGATTCTGTCCCGGTTGCCCCTCTTCCAGTCCAGCTCTCTGCTGTGGCCCGCGAGGGCAGTGGAGGATGGCCCAAGTGCTTGGGCCCTGCACCTGCATGGGAAACCAGGAGAAGCAGCTGGCTCCTGGTTTTGGATTGGTGCAGCGCGCCAGCTGTAGCGGCCATCTGGGGGGTGAACCAACGAAAAGGAAGACCTTTCTCTCCGTCTCTCTCTCTCTCTCACTGTCTAACTCTGCCTGTAAAATGTATATATATATGTATATATATATGTGCACATCCAAACACAGACACACACACACATCCTTTTGTGAATTTTCTCTTACCCCAGTCTGAAAACAGGGTTAGGTGGGTTGGAAACAGAACTGTAGCCGTATGCCAATAGCTGAATTTACATTATTATGGTATCTATTATTTTTAAATATATTTTTGGTGTATATGCTTTGGAGACAGGGAGGGAAAGAGAGTTCCCGTCTGCTGCTTCATTCCCTGAGTGCCCACAGTGGCCCCTGGCTAGGGTTAGAGCCGGGACCCTGCACTCAATCCAGGTCTCGCATATGTGTGGCAGGAACCTAATCATGTGAGCCATCTGCTGCCTCCCAGGGTCTACATCAGCAGGAAGCTGGAGTTGGGAGCCAGCGGCAGCGGACGTTGAGTCCAGGCACTCTGATGTGAGACAGGGGCCTTCCAACCAGCACCCCAGCCACCGGATCTAACACCCACTCCCTTTTCATTTTAAAGCATGCACTTGGAGGCCGGCACCGTGGTGCAGTAGGTTAATCTTCCTCCTGCGGCGCCGGCATTCCATATGGGCACTGATTCTAGTCCCAGCTGTTCCACTTCCAATCCAGCTCTCAGCTATGGTCTGGGAAAGCAGTAGAGGATGGGCCAAGTCCTTGGGCCCCTGCACCCATGTGAGAGACCGGGAAGAGGCACCTGGCTCCTGGCTTTGGATTGGCGCAGCTCCAGCCTTTGCAGCCATATGGGGAGTGAACCAACAGAAGGAAGACCTTTCTCTGTCTCTCCCTCTCACTGTCTGTAACTCTACCTCTCAAATAAAATAAATAAAATTTTTAAAAAATAAATAAAAATAAAACATGTGTTTGTCTTTTTAGAGTTACTAAGTGTATTCCAGGCAAAAGAAACAGCATGAGCAAAGGCACCTCGGCACAAGGTTTACCCAGAAAGTTAACTGACCCACAGGGGTGGCCAGCCTTCTAAGCAAACCAGCACCCATGCAGTGCAGGGCCAAGGCCATTTTTGTGTGTCGAGATTGACCCTTCATTGGTCAGGTGGACGGTTGAGTAGGTGGGAGCAAGACCAGAGGCTCAGAGGCCATTTGGGAGTCTGCTGCCAAGACAGAGGGGGGTGACATGACGTCAAACCAGGAGCATGTCCTCAGGTTGAGCACATGTGTCATCCTTACAAGGGTCTGTGAAATCTGTGACTGACCAAAAGAATTTTAATTTTATTCATTTGCCATATTATCTAAGAGCAGGTTATGAGCAAGATCGGAAGACAGGCATGTGAAATTTACCTGTTCTGACATTTCTAACCTCGGCATATTTCTGTTTTAACTCCATGCTGTAAAGAAATTTTCTTCATACTTGTCTCCAAGAGTGATCAGGAGTTTGGTGACCTGGATCACTCGTCACCCTGTGCGCACAATTTATTGTCCAACTTGGTAGTCTGAAACCCTCTATCAATTCTGTCTAAATGGCGTTTGCAGTTGCCCGGTTGACATTATTTTTATGAGCACGCTTTTTGTTATTTCTGCAATCCACTCAGCTCTTAGAAATGCCTCGGTCTGCTCTCCAGATGCCATGGCTTCTGCAGATATTTGCACCTGTGGGGGTATACAGCGAGCGGCTTCATGTCCCCACAGTCTTAAAATACTCTTTCCTCTGTGGAAGGAATGTGTTTCCCAGCTTTTATTCCGGGCTCTTGTCCCTGCATGAGATAAGAATTCAAAGCAGAGGCATAAATAAAGTGCAGTAATGAGAGCAGGGTTTATTTAGAGTGAGAGAGTGAGTGTGGGCAAACGCATGGAGAGAAAAGCTCTCCATGAAAGCCCCAAAGAGAAAGACCTGCCTGTGAGGAGAGAACATGCAAGAAGGCACCAAAAAGGCGAGGGTCGCTAGTCCAGTGGTCCCCTCTGTGGGGTAGAGAGCGGTGACCTAACTGAACATGCAACCTGGGTGGAGTTTGGGTGGGGTGAGGTCTTCCCGGAAAGTTTCATGGCATCTCCACATGGAACTTTCCTGGCTCCTTCTTCATCATGTAGGAGACTGAGGTGCATCATGGGAAAGGGGGTGGAGTTAGAGTATACTGTAGAGACAGAAACTGGAAAAATCCTTCAGCCCATTTATCTCTAACTCCCTGCCCATTTTGGGTCCCCTGTCACCTCTCCTCCCCAGCTGCAAAGAGGAAGCTTATCTGGGAGCTGGCTTGATACTTCTTTTAACTTTGTGCATATTTATCTAATTAGACACACGCATAACAAGAGCAGATCAAAGAAGAGCTTCTCAAATCATCTGGTTCTGAGAGCACTGACAGGCATGAGCTGGCAAATAGGCTAAGGCAAATTATTATTAAAACACTCGCCCTGGGATATAATACAAAGATGAAGGATTGTACTGTAGAATATGACTCTGTAAGACACAAATCCTGGCCAGCCAGCAAGCTTGAGTGAAAAGCCATGGGAGAGAAACAAGTAGTCTCAGTAAATGGGTTCCTCTTGTACTCTGGTCGTGAGCCATAATCATTTCCTAGTTGTAACTTGGAGCACCTTCTTCTCCCAGTAATTAAGTACGCTTGTGATTTTTGCATTTCCTACCAAGGCCCAGATTTTCACATTTCCACGAAGGACAGCTGGTAAGGGAGGCATCCTGCCTTGCTTAAGCTGACAAGCCCTTTTCTTTCATGAATCCAGTAACTATTTACACAGCTCTGCCCTTCCAGCACGCTCTCCAGGGGTTACAGTTTGCAGCCCTTCCCACTGTACTGAGAACAGCAGGTTTGGTGATCCTACAGTGTGGCCTGTCTTGTTAGGGGAAGGGAGAAAAGTGAGCATTTAGTAAGCATAGGCGCTGTGTTGTTTCGTATACATTAGCTCCTCTGATGATGAGGCTAACCCCATCTAGTTAGAATATGCTCAGTGTGTGTTGCTTTCTTTTTATTCTATAGTGTGGAAATAATCCGTGTGGAATTAATTACTTAACACCCTAAATTTGAAACCCTCTCTATGTGAGCATGACCTGGGTGATTTCTAGAGCTCATTGGATGCAGGATGTATTAATAGATGGGAAAGGGGTGAATCACGGCATGGATGGAAGGTCATAAAACCCCATGTGTATGCTTGGTGTACAGAATGTGTCAGGAGGAAACTTGAATAGGCTGGAAGACTTCTACTGAAAGGTTTTCTCAGAGCATTGTTGGAGGAACGTGGAGCATACTGACCTCTCCTTCTTTCTTAGATACATTCCACCGTTGATCTGGGGGAAGAGCGGACACATCCAGACGGCCTTGTATGGAAAGATGGGAAGGGTGAGGTCGCCACACCCGTATGGGCACCGGAAGTTCATCACCATGTCTGACGGAGCCACTTCTACTTTCGACCTCTTTGAGCCCTTGGCTGAGCACTGTGTTGGAGGTGAGCTGGTCTGACACGTGCAGCTTGGTCACCACTGCAAGAAGGAGCCCTGGTCAGTGCGGAGCACGGGGTGAACGCTGCTGCCCTGCCACCAGCTGTCCCGTTTCATCCGGGACTGCTGGGAAGTGTGTGGGGATGCAGCCAGGAGGAGCAGCCGACAGGGATTAACTCTAACGTGTGCTTGCCAGCACCATTTAAGGCTCCTCAGAAAGCATCATGGAATAGTTTTGTAACCTCCTCGTGACAGGCAAGCTCCCCACGTAGGGATGAGTGAGAGCTTGGAGTGCAGGCCCCAGGACCAGCCTGTTCAGTTGATGTCAGCAACAAGGCCAGACCGTTCTAAGTGCTTTAGATCTACTGTTACCTCATTTAATCTTCACCACGTCCCTGTGAGGTTGGTGCTTCATTATCCCTACCGCATGTCAGGGAAGCTGAGGCTTAGAGAAGCAACGTGTGCTGGTTTTGCTTGTTGAATAAGAGTAGTTAACAAAGGCTCTCAGGTACCCTCTGCTTAGGTGTCCCTTGCAAAAAGACACTGTAAGATCATATTGATCATGAAAGAGTCAGGGGGCCTCTCTCTGAGAAGCAGCTCCAGTCCCCATTGCTGCTGAAGTTTGATGTTGTTTGTCCTGCCTGTTCAAGAACGTTCATGAAATGCTTTGTAGCAAGGACTTTGGAAGAAGTGCAGTTACGTGCCAGCATCCCTGTGATGGCTATTCCTACTGCAAGAGAATGTGTCTTTTATGTTCAAAGGCACCTTGTTTGTTCATAGGTCCTCAGTAATTATTTATGGGTAAATTCCAGTAAACCTGTTGTAGCTCTCAGTGATCATGGTAACCAGAACTGCTGAGTAACTGGTGGCAAAGTTTTATGTTTCCTCTGCCTGGAATGCTCGTCCCCAGAACGTCGCTCAGCTGCCCCCTCTTACTCATTCAGGTCTCAGCTCAGATGTCACCCCCTCCGAGGGAGTCCTGGACTCCTCTAGCTACCTAGGGTTTCCCTCCCGGTAGATGTGTCATGTCCTCCTGCCATAGGTCCTCAAAGCACCTGCCACTCTCTACCCTTGCGTGTGCTTGTTGTTTATCTCTCTGCTAGCAGCCTACGCGTCCCCAGAACAGTCAGCTTCCAGGAATCGGACATGGAAGGAATGAATAAATAAATAGGTTAGAAGTTCATTTTGTGTTTAAAAGCCTTGTCTTTCAAATGTTTATTTCTCTACCATATCTAGCTAAATATGTCTTTTCTCTTTTCTCCAATGCTTTTATTTGTTTCTTTTACCATTAAAGCGCAAAATTTTGTTTGACCAGTCTGCTCCTCCTACCAGGACCGTGGTAGAATATTAAAATGGGCAAGACTGATATCTCATTGTATTTATTCATGTCTTTTTATCAACCTGGCCCCTGACAGGACTGATAAGAGTGATTCTGGGGGAGACAGTACAAGGGGTCTTCAAAAAGTTCACGCAGGCACTCTGGCAAAAAGATCTCTGTGAGTGAGATCCCAGTGGAAAGAACAGGTCTTCAAAGAGGGAGGTGCCTTTCTCTGAAGGGAGGAGAGAACCTCCAATTTGACTATGACCGTGTCTAAACAAGATAAGAGTCGGAGAACTCAAGGGGCTTCCATAGCCTTGGAAACTCATGACTGGTGCATAGGGAGATTACTGATGCCATAAACAGGAGTGTCAATTTGTAAAGTCAACAACAGGAGTCACTGTGCACTTACTCCTCATGTAGGATCTCTGTCCTTAATGTGCTGTACACTGAGGCTTAATGCTATAACGAGTACTCAAACAGTATATTTCACTTTGTGTTTCTATGGGGGTGCAAACGATTGAAATCTTTACTTAATGTACACTAAACTGATCTTCTGTAAAAAAAAAAAAAAAAGAAATTATAAATTCCCAACTTGATTCTCACTGGGATTAAACATGACAATAGGTCTGATCTGATTTCATCATCATTTAAAAAAATCATCTATTATTTTTCACTTTATGTTTCTGTGTGGGAGCAAACTGTTGAAATCCTTACTTAAGGTATACTAAGCTGATCTTCTGTATATTAAGATAATCGAAAATGAATCTTGATGTGAATGGAAGGGGAGAGGGAGTGGGAAAGGGGAGGGTTGTGGGTGGGAGGGACGGTATGGGGGGGAAGCCATTGTAACCCATGAGTCGTACTTTGGAAATTTATATTCATTAAATAAAAGATTAAAAAAAAAAAAAGTTCACGGCAGGGTCGTTGTGGTGTAGCAGGTCAAGCCACCCCTGCAACGCTGGCGTCCCATGTAAGCACCAGTTCAAGTCTTGCCTGCTCCACTTCCGACTAGGTCCCTGCTAATGGCATAAGAAAAACACAGTGGAAAATGGTCCCTGCCACACACGCGGGAGACCCAGAAGAAGCTACTGGCTCCTGGTTTCCACCATTGGGACCATCTAGAAAGTGAACTAGCAGATGGAAGATTCTCTCTGTCTGTCGCTCGCTCTCTAGTCTCTCCCTCTCACTGTGTATCTCATACCTTCAAATAAAATAAATCTTTTTTAAAAATCATGGAAAATATATATTATGAATAAAGTATGACTGGATTTCAAAAATTTTCACACCAAAATAGAATTTTATTCTACTTTTCCATGAATTTGTCTGAAACTCCCTCGTATTTTCCCCCAAGAAATGTTTCAAGAAAAACAATCCTTTTTTCTTGCATGATTTTTTTGATTATAAAAGGAATCAGTTCTCAGTTTAGGAAACATAGACACTACAGAAACATTTTAAGATGAAAATTAGAATCAATCATAATCCAACACCCAACATACCACTGTTAACATCTTACTCCATTTTCCTCCAGTTCTAGACATTGTTCTTCCAAAATTTGAATTATTTTATATATATATTATACTTTTTTATGTCATTAGAAATTCAAAAGTCTTTAAATTAAAAACAATTTTAATTTTAATGAGCGTCATAGAATGTAGTCATGCCACAATTCAACCATTCTTCTATTTACAATTTTATCACTATAAGAAAGGAAGGAGAGGAGTGGGGTGGGAAGTATCACTATGCCCCTAAATCTATATATATGAAATACATGAAATTTGTTCACCTTATATAAAGATAAAGAAAAAAATTCTGTGGCGCAGCGGGTTAACACCCTGGCCTGAAGCACCGGCATCCCATATGGGCGCCGGTTCGAGTCCCGGCTGTTCCACTTCCGATCCAGCTCTGCTATGGCCTGGGAAAGCAGTAGAAGATGGCCCAACTGGTTGGGCCCCTGCACCCACATGGGAGACCCGGAGGAAGCTCCTGGCTCCTGGCTTCAGATCGGCACAGTTCCAGCCATTGCGGCCAACTGGGGAGTGAACCAGCAGATGGAAGACCTCTCTCTCTCTCTGCCCCTCCTCTCTGTGTAACTTTTTTCTTTCTTTCTTTCTTTTTTTTTTTTTTTTTTTTTTTTTTGACAGGCAGAGTTAGACAGTGAGAGAGAGGTCTTCCTTCTGTTGGTTTACCACCCAAATGGCTGCTACGGCCAGCGTGCTGCGCCGATCCAAAGCCAGGAGCCAGGTGCTTCCTCCTGGTCTCCCATGCGGGTGCAGGGCCCAAGCACTTGGGCCATCCTCCACTGCCTTCCCAGGCCACAGCAGAGAGCTGGACTGGAAGAGGGGCAACCAGGACAGAATCTGGTGCCCCAACCGGGACTAGAACCTGCGGTGCCGGCACCACAGGTAGAGGATTAGCCTAGTGAGCCACAGCGCCGGCCCACTCTGACTTTCAAAGTAAGATAAATAAATCTTTAAAAAAAAAAAAAGAAACAAAATTCTCATGAACTTCCTTCATCATAAAATTTTAGGCAAGATTCTGAAATTAAAATGACTACATCAAAGTTCGTCTAATTTTTAAGGTTCTTTATGAAGATTGATTACAAATTCACATTTCCTCTGCCAGCATTAAATTATTTTTATTGTTTTATCTTAATTTGAAGGAAAATTATAATCAGATTTAATAACCTAAGCATGATACTTTTCTTTCAAAGAAAAATTTGTATTCATTCATATTTTCAAGTAAATAAGTTATGCTCATGATAGAAAACTCAAAAGGTATTAAATATATACAGTGAAAGTATTGTCTCTCTCTCATCTCTGTTTCCCTCCCAGGCTGGTACCTGTTAGATTTGTTGTTCGAATGATTCCAGAATTAGTGGAAGTGTTTATAAATATAGACAACTTTCCCTCCACACAAATGGCAGCATATTACATCTCTTTCCTTTAAGTAGCTTTTTTTTTTTCACTTAACATGTATTGGACAGCTTGCCATATTAGTTTATATAAAAACTCTCATTTTTTAAAAGATTTATTTATTTATTTGAAAGTCAAAGTTACAGAGAGAAAGAGAGATAGGGAGAGACACAGAGAAATCTTCCATCTCTGGTTCATTCCCCAGTTGGCCACAATAGCCAGAGGTGAGCCAATCCAAAACCAGGAGCCAGGAACTATTTCTAGGTCTCTCTTGTGAATACAGGGGCCATCTTCCACCACTTTCCCAGGTACATTAGCAGGGAGCTGGTTTGGAAGTGGAGCAGCCAGGACCCAAACTGGTGCCAATATGGAATGCTGGCATTGCAGGCAGTGGCTTAACCTGCTGTGTTACAACACTGGCCCCATGGAAATTTTTTAAGTCAACTTTTCACCATAAATAGTTTGAGAAGCACTGAAATAGACAGCTTTGGCTCACAAGGAAAAAATATTCTTTCCCAGAGAATTGTGTGAAAAGTTGTATGTTAAATTTCTCCGTCCTGTTTTCTAAGCCAGCAAAATAGAATTGTGTCCATTTATTGTGTCACTTATTGGATATGTCCGTCTCTCGTTCTCCACCCTGCAGATGATGTCACCATGGTCATCTGCCCTGGAATCGCCAATCACAGCGAGAAGCAGTACATCCGTACCTTTGTTGACTATGCCCAGAAAAATGGCTATCGGTGTGCCGTGCTGAACCATCTGGGGGCCTTGCCCAACATTGAACTGACCTCACCACGCATGTTCACCTATGGTAAGCACAGGGTGTGGCCAAGGGAGCACCCCTTTCTCTGTTCTCACTGCAAGTGAGAAGCTGCTTCTGCTCTATTTCTTTTCTTTTCTTTCTTTTTTTTTTTTTTTATTTCTTTAAGTTTGGAATTCATGCCCGTTTCAAAGCGATGATAGGGCGCACGGTTAGTTAAAACAGTAGCCAACCTGTACTGGACCTATGTGATGCATATCTCAGATTAACTTTTGAGATAGGCACTGCAAGAACTGCCAGCAAATAGATGCAGAAACCGAAGCTCACAGGGGAAGGTGTTGCCCAAGGTGCCCTGGCTGATAAGTAGGAGCTGAGAGCCAAGTAGAGCAGGGCAGGGATTGTGCCCTTCACCACCGTGCCACCCTGACTGACACTCATTCCTCGGGACTCTGGGACTGGCAGGCAAGGGTGCAACGAAATACGCGAAAGTCACTGGGAAGGGACCTGGCACATTAGCACCTCCCTGGATTTTCTAGCTCCTTGAAGGTGGGAACCAGATCTCATGTTTAGATAAATGTTTCCTGACTTGAACTGAAAGTCTTGTGTTCTGTTCTGTTCATTCTTAACTCTTAGGCTAGCTCTCCCTTCAGATTATAGATACACACATGAAGAATACACATGTAGTAAGTGTGTCTGTTTAGGCACATAAGCCTGGGATGTCTATGACCAGTTAAGTTATAATATGTTTTAATGGGAAACAACCAAAAATTGTATCTATAAAGGAACTTCAGAAAGTTCGTGGAAAATGGAATTAAAAGGTAGGTTTATTTTGGTGCAGAAAACTTTTGAAGCCCTTACAGTTTTTCTTTAAATGTATTTTTTTTTTAAAGATTCTATTTAGGCCGGCGCCACGGCTCACTAGGCTAATACTCCACCTTGCGGTGCCAGCACACTGGGTTCTAGTCCCGGTCAGGGCACCGGATTCTGTCCCGGTTGCCCCTCTTCCAGGCCAGCTCTCTGCTGTGGCCAGGGAGTGCAGTGGAGGATGGCCCAAGTACTTGGGCCCTGCACCCCATGGGAGAGTAGGAGAAGCACCTGGCTCCTGCCTTCGGATCAGTGCGGTGTGCCGGCCGTGGCGGCCATTGGAGGGTGAACCAATGGCAAAGGAAGACCTTTCTCTCTGTCTCTCTCTCTCACTGTCCACTCTGCCTGTCAAAAAAATAAATAAAGAAAATAAAATAAAAGATTCTATTTATTTACTTGAAAGAGTTACAGAGAGGCATAGGCAGAGAGAGAGAGAAATCTTCCTTCCACTGATTCATTCCCCAAATGGCCACAGTGGCCAGAGCTGAGCTGATCTGAAGCCAGAAACCAGGAGCTTCTTCCGCGTCTCCCACGTGGGTGCAGGGGCCCAAGGACTTGGGCCATCTTCCACTGCTTTCCCAGGCCATAGCAGAGAGCTGGATTAGAAGTGGAGCAGCCAGGACTCGAACTAGCGCCCATATGGAATGCCGGCACTGCAGGCAGTGGCTTTACCCACTATGCCACAGTGCCAGCCCCGCCCATATAGTTTTTCTACAATGCAGATTTTCCATAAACATTTTGAAAACTCTTGTATAATCTCAACATAACTAGAATTTTCCATTTCTTTATCTTCCCAATCTGCCTTTATCAATGTGTACAGAGTTTTTATTTAGTTGCCCTCACAGTGTATATAACTATGGTGACCTATTTATAGTAGTCTCTACCACAAAGATGTACTCATTATGTTTCAACCTTTTAGGAGCCACATTACTATTACTGCTCTGTTATAGTTCACTTAACCACTCGTTTTTGTAGGGCATTAAGGTTATTTATAGTTTTGGGCATTGTAAATAATGGTTCTATAAATATCTTGTACATGGAATTTTTTCTTTCTCTTTAATGACTTCTTTTGGAGCAGATTTCTGGTAGAATTACAGAGCCAACTTTTTTTTTTTTTTTTTTTTTTTTAAGATTTATTTACTTGAAAGGCAGAGTTACAGAGAGAGAGAGAGCAGTCTTCTATCCACAGGTTCACTCCTCAAATGGCTGCAATGGCCAGAGCTGGGCTCTTCCAAAGCCAGGGGGCAGGAGCTTCTTCCAAGCCTCCCATGTGGATACAGGAGCCCTAGTATTTGAGCCATCTTCTGCTGCTTTCCTAGGCACATTAACAGAGACCTGGATCAGAAGTAGGGCATCCAGGACACACACTGGTGCCACAGCGCTGGCCCCAGAGTCAATATTTTTTATGTGTGTTGGTACATATTGTCAGATTGTCCTCCAGCAAGATCATTCCAGTTTATGCTGTCATTGGTAACAGGGCAGGGTGCTGTCTTCTGTAAGCGCAAGTAAGGGAAGATTGTAGATAAGGAAGTATGAACAGGTGTTTCTGCTTTTGTTATTGACCCTAAGTTCTTCAGTTTACTTGCAAGCAGAAATTGACACGAGGCCAGTATGCAACCCAAAAAATGTTTATTGGGGGTTCCTGCTGGGACACAAGGCAAACAGAATGGCGGGAAGATGTTTTGCCAGCTGGCTCCTCAATGAGAGCCAAACAGATACTTCTAATGGAGTTGGGGAGGTATGGCAGCTTATCCTTGCCATACAGCACAACATCCAGCCTGCAGAGATGGCTTGTCCCCCTCAGTACACAACACTTTGATTTGCACCCTGCTCAGTGTTCTGCACAGGTGCTTTTGTCTTTCTTTCTTTTTTTTTTTTTTTCTGCAAAGTTAGCTCAAAATGGCAGTGTTGGGTGGTAAAAATGGGATCTTAAGTGTTAAAGTGATCATATGGATAGGATTAAGTGTTAAAGGGATCATATAAATAAGTCAAGTGTCTGGCAATAATAATAGATAGAATTAAAAAGGAGAGAATGTTCCAACATGGGAAGCAATCCACACAGCAGACTCATAGCATGACAATCACTTTAAATAGCACTCTGACCTCAGAATCAGCATTTAAGGCATTCTGGTCTGGCTGAAAAGCCCATAAGAGCATTTCAGGCATGGAAATCCAAGACACTGTGGCACAGGATTTCTTTTTCACAGGATTTCTGTGAATGAGACCCCAGTGGAAAGAAGTGGCCATCAAAGAAGAATGTACTTTCCTCTGAAGGGAACTTCCACTTTGCTTATTACCTTGTTAAATACTAACGGAGATTGAGGACTCAAAAGGCTTCCATAGCCTTGGCAGTGCATGTCAAGAGTCTCAGGTGATCACTGACATTGTACATAAGAGTGTTAATTGTAAAATTAACAAGAGGAGTCACTGTGCACTTACTTCCCATGCAAGACTTCTGTCCTTAATGAGTTATATTATAAGAATTAACTATAAAGCTTGTTCTCAGTTTTGTGTGTGTGTGTGCAAATTATTGAAAACTTTTAGTATAGTGTTGGTCTTCTGTGTATAAAGTTAATTGAAAATGAATCTTAATGGAGAATGGGACTGAGAATGGGAGAGGGAAGAGGAGGTGGGGTGAGAGCGGGGCTGGGAGGGCAGGTATGATGGGAAAAATCACTATATTCCTAAAATTGTACTTATGAAATTTTTACTCCTTAAGTAAAAGGTTTATTTGGGAAAAAATTTTAAATTAAAAAAAAAAAGACAGTGTTGCTCAGTACCACTATCCTATGAAAATCACATATCCGTCACTTGAGGCTGTTCTGAGCATGCATGCAGTCTGGAGATGTCCCTAATAGGGCATCAGGAGGTCTTTTGTGGTTTGGGTCTAGATGCTCCTTGCTCATAATTGGTTTGGAGCTTGAGCTGGACACATGTCAGGTAGGGAAATAGCGACTCCTGCTTCTATCCTGTTTCACCTTGTGCCAGGCACAGTGCTGGGTGCTCTGAATCTGTTTCCTACTTTTTACTCACTTGTACACCTTAAGACACCCATTTCACAGACTCTGTTCTGTTCAACAGTTTGGTCAGTGGCTTGAAGACACAGATGAATATCCAAGTTTATAGATAACTGTAGGCACACAGGGAATGGTATGTGGAAGACAGAATTGAACCCACAAAGCAGAAACAGGCAAAATCTAACACAACTGAAAACAATAGGAAGTAAGTCTAAAGTCCTGTCCTTGGATATAAAGATCTGTACATGCAAAGGATGGGGAGGCATGGCCTGGCTGCAGGGCCTGGACAGAGACTAGAGGGCACCATCTATCAGCACACCTGCCAGCAACAAGATCAGACGTCCCAGCAAGGATACCTCTTTGTGTGCCAGCAGCAGTGCTGCTGTCATAGACAGATTCTCTTTTATCTCCACAGCATCCCATAAAACAGTAAAATTCTGATGAGAAAAAACTTATGGCACAGAGAGTGAAGTAATTCAAGCAAGGGCATAGAGCTAGTAAGTCAAAGAGCTAAACTGGGATCCTAGGTCTGGCTGCCACAGCCTCCAGAATTGTCTCAGAGCTGGTTGAGTAGCTAGCTGTGTGGAGCCCAGGGCCCCTGCCCCAAGTGCTGTGCTATGGACTGCAACAAAGAAGGCCCTGTCAGGAGAACCCAGTAGTCAGAGGCAGTGGAGAGCAGACTGAACATGGAATGTGCCCCAGGGAATCGCAGGTCAGGAGGCAGGCCCTGATTCCCACACCCCAGCCCTGCCACCGATTGGCTGTGAAGCCTTGCTTCATTCACATCTGTTCCAGATTCTTCCACTGCAGTAATGGGGGCTGCAGTCAAACAAGGGTCACTAAGGATTTGGCAGGCAATTGAGTGCTTACCATCCAGATACAGTAAGTATGTGTGATGTGTTAGGTTACTCTCATTCCAGTTCTTGAAGGTGTGTTAGTGTTGATGAGGGGTTAGCCATACTCTGTGTGACCCAGGCAGGTAAGACATGTTCTGCAGACTGTGGATAAGTAGTCACAGCACTGTGCGCTCAAGCACTGGCAGAGTGGCTCTGGTGCACCATGGCAGTGTGGAGAAAACACACTGCTGAGGGAAGGATCCTCCCAGGAAAGGCTGGGTGCTCAGAGGTGAGTGTGGCCTAGAGTTGGTAAAAGGAAGGTGGGCTGAGGAGC